TGTACATTTGCATTATTATAACCATTGTAAAAGATTTATTGAAAGTGAAAGCCAATCAATTTAAAATGACTGAATGAGAACTGTGATCAACTCACAACAGTGTTGCAATAATATAGTACTTTTTCATTGTGATCAGAAACTATTTCATTTGATCATCAATCATTCCAATAAAAGCATATTTGAATCAACATTAGGTAGTTCTTTCACTGAACGGGACTTCAATTTACTTGGTGGTTCAAGGAAAATGTTATTAACAATACAGTTAGATAATAATAAGATTATTATTTATTATTAATTAATTATTAATTTATGCATATATTTTGGCGACTAAAATTTTTCACTGGCGACCAAACCTGAACAGTCAGTGGCCAAATGGCCACTAAGGAAAAAAGTTAACTTGGAGGGTTGAGTATCAACTACACCATGAATGTATTATGCATTGTACAGCATGCAAATTACAAATTTAATAAACATACCTTGATATGGTTCCACTAAAATACCTTGCGTCTGAGGGATAGGTGCTCTTATGTCATCTCCATCCCTTATAAATAAATAATTTCAATTTCTTATTAGAGCTAAATAATTTTGTTAATCAGTGAAACGATACTTCATGTCTTCAAACTCATTACCTCGCCAATAGTGGTCACAGAGGTGAAACTTGATATTTCCTGGTTAATTTCAATTATCTTTACTTATCAATGTACCTTGTCATGTTTTTGGGAACCGATATGCACCCAACATCATTGCAAAGTTTGTAATGATAGCTGTGTTGGAAATGACCAAAGGGGGACTTATACCATGTATAAATAATCAGTGTTGGAACAGGAAGTAAGTAGGAATGATACACCTTGTTTTGTAAACCAAGATTTAAATTTGAAAGAAACAGGCTTTTGGTTACAAATCAGGGCATACACATTTAAACATGATAATGATTTATACCAAATATTATTCTTCTGGCAATAACGGATCAGATTTCACAAAACCTTTAGTCAATAAATGTTAAACTGATATCTATAACATTTTAATTATTTGTTCTAGAATAAAAATAATATAAGCTGTAGTACAATTTTTTTTCCATTTTTCCCCTAAATAACATTAATAAGAGACCATCTATTTTTTTCATTTATTTGAGCTTTGTTTTCAAAGAATATGTCAAAACCATTTTATAGTTAAGCTTAAAATGACACTTCTGAAATCGATATGATCGTGTAATGTCTAAGTTTCCATCAACGTTGCTTTTCACCTTTTTGCTTAACCTCCTAAGAGATCAGGCGAGTTTTGTTACGAATACTAACTATGATAACTATTACAAACATTAGAAACCATAACTTACGGGTGAGAATTGTTACTGGTAGAATTCGAACCAGCTGTACGGCTTAGTCCTGCTGTCGAAGAATTGGCCATTGATTCTGGAGCTTCGCAGGAATCTAAGTGCATTTCGATTGCCATTTCTAAGTTTCCGTTACAAGCTTCAAGCAAGGACCTTGCGATGTCTTTGGAGGCACCCGTAACATTAACAAACTGAGAAACAAGACTCGCGGGTATTTTTGTTCTGGCCGCCATCTTGAACTGACCACTGACTAAACGAGCGCGGGAAACTGTTTCAACCCTGGGACGTAAAGTTGAAAATTGTCGTGACAAGTTTTGGCTGCAAATATTCTTACAAAAAGCAAACCATAACTCCTAATGGTTATACCTGCTTTTCCAAATTAATTCTAAAGTGCACTAAACTGTTTTAAATGATTTTCGACTTTTTACGTAACAAAGTAATTGAAATTAAGCTAATTTCCCCCCCTACCCTGACAGAAGATTTGTGTTCTCAAGCAAAAAAACGAGGAGGCCTGAAGAGAGAGTTTCGCGTCTTTTCATGCTGTCTTCATTTGAAGTTCGTGCATTCTTTCTGGAAGAAAACATCTCCGTGAGTGATCTTATATTCCAGTGATTTAGAGGTCTTTGAACTGCAATTTAAAGGGTAATATGATCTTATTCAATTCCGTTCGCTGCATAAAGAAAAACTGATTTACCACGGTCAGCTCGCGGGGAATTTGAAAATATGTCAACTTCCATTTTGTGTGACAAATTTCACTTGTTGGTGTGGTTAAACAAGTCCGTAGTTTATTCCTCACGACGCGAATGAAGGGTTGTCTGAGCAACATTCTTTGAGATTCCCGTAAACATGAACGAGGGTAAGTTAAGATTGTCAACATGGTATGATTTGAACAACTTTTACAGCCTTACTACGTGATCACAAAATTTATCAACAACGTTTCACGTTCAAACTGGCCTGTAAGAGTTGTTTAATATTAATTTAGAGACTTTAAAAGGTCGCTATGGAATTAAGCTAAATGACTTTAAATTGATTACAAAGCGTTTTATGCTTATGCTGTCTCTAAGGCTTCCCATATGTATACTTCCGATTTTGAGTTGATTTCTTGCGTCCGGGTAAGTATATAGCTGTTAAGAGAGCCACTCCGATTAAAATATTCCTTACCTGAAGTACAATGCAATGTTCTGTAGGGACATCAGTAAATATAGAAAAGCTGGATGGGGAAGAGCTAATATCAGGGAGGGAGGCTGGGGAGTCAGGGAACTTATCAACCAAGTACTTTTTTTTCCATCAGCTTAGCCCATTGTGGGAGGAAGGGAAGGTGGGAGGGGGGGGGAACCAGGGCATGAAGGGGGCTTATAAGCTGAGCGTTTTACAGTAGGCCAACAGCAAGTTGTCTTCTTTCTCTGTTTCAAAGCAAGTTGTCATTTAAAGTGTTTCTTGCAAAAACGAGTATAATTAGTGTGAAAAATGCATATATAAATGAAAGTCATTTCATAGAAAAGGCCTTAAACCGGACCACATTTTGAAACTTAAGGCAAAAGATAACTAGTGAATAGCCTATTATATTGCATCTGAGTGTTAAATAGAGCAGCTGGTGTCAACATAATTACCTTGTGTATGCATAATTAAGATAAATTAATGGTGCATTTATGAATACCATTGATATCTTATAACATAGTGCTGCATGCTATTTGAACGTTAGGAATGAATTTTTCGTTTGGAAGAAGACAAGAAAAGATTGATTGGCGAAGGCTTGGTAAGAAAATTATTATTACTATTATTAAACCTCAGTGGCTTTAAAATAGTCAATTTTATAATTAGCATTTGTTTAGATGAATATGCTAATATCAAGCTGGAAGGTTTCACAAGTGTTTTGGTGTACAGTGTTACAGTTTTTACACTGGAACTTGAATCATGGTAACAAAAGGTAAATTTAACAGTTGTATATTAAGTAATGTGGATTGCTCTTAGTGATGTTTATTCCTTTTTTAACTAGAATTATTTTCATGATGCTGCTACAGTGTATAAACAGGACTGGTATAGATCTTCTGTTCCCATTATTTTAAAATGTGTCGTGCACATGGACAGGTTTGAACATTTTTCCTCATCCTGGCCTTTCAAGGGATAAATATATGAGAGTCAAAATACAGTGGGAGACAAATAATGAAAACAACTGTAACTGTTCTACTTGTACACAAGTATCAGAATTGATGCAAAATTTCTGATGAGTGTAAAAAATTTTAAAGTTAGCATTTTTATTAGGAAATAATAATTATGTTTGCACTTGTATCTTCTAGCCCTTCAATTTTAGTTATCTTATATTTCATATTACTGGTATTTTAGATAATTATTTAGTCCATTGTCTTTTTTGTCAATTTGCTGGTTTTCAGCTTCTGTTGATGTCGACAGGATAGTGAGAGAAATGGATGTAAATACATTGCAAGATAACATTATGCATGTCACATTTAGCAACATAGAAGCAGAGCTGGTGAGTGTATTCATGGTATAATCAAGATACTAGCCTGAACAATGTATTATTCAGAACATTTGTGCTTTTGAAACCTGTAGCAAATTGCCCTCTAGCACCTGTAAAATATATCCCCACAGGCAAATAGCAATATGTAGGCTTGATATCCAGGTTTGACCCTGGATAAAATGTTTCTGTGCACCATTGCATTAATCTGATCATGTGACTTACATGTGACTCACATGTTTTCTGTCTTTACAGGGAATGCAGGGTGCTGGTTTTGATCCAAACTATATCAAGTTGTTTCGACTGGCACAGCTCATAATTGAGTACCTTTTGGTAAGAAATGCCATTTATTGGTAAAACAACAAAATAATATTAGTTTGATGCTTTTTACCATTGACTATATACATGTATGTCTGTCCTTGCAATGAATTCATGGTAACCTCAAAAATGTGAACACTCTTGCTAGGGACCAGGATAAATAAATGTGAGGAGTTTTCTGTGAAAAATAAAAGTACATGTACCCGCAGTGGAGAGGTGTTGGCTTAAGGGACATTATGGCTGAGAGGTTGAACTGTAACTAACAGTTCATTCAAACATCCCATGAGATAGTATTTTGAATCCAGTGCACACCTTATCCTGTTCAATGGCAGACCTCTTCTCAGTTATCTTCAAACAGTTTGCTAATTGTTGTCAATTTAACTTTTGTGGGTAGATGTTTTCAGGAGAGTGGAAACTTGTACAAAGTTATTTTGAAGATCACATTCTCATACAATGATACTAGCATAACTTCATTATTTTATTTACAATTTATTTCCCTTGTTAGCATTCTCAGCAGTTTCTCTCAGCAAATCTTGACGCAGACAACAAGACACTAGAAGAAGCGTTGGAGGTAGTGTAATAGCGTATGACTTCTTTATATATTATATAAGACTGGGAAATATCAGATACATTATAAGGTACTTTCCAGAAAAGAAGCAGTAATGACCTTGATGATGACATGTACATTGTCTACTCACCTCCCTGTCTGGACAGAGATCCTCTAAACCAAACAATTGAGCACTGTTGTTTTTGCAATTTTACGCAGGAAGCTGAAAAGACCAAGAAGGAGCTAGAGGTAAAAAAGGAAGCCTACAAAAGACTGAAAAAAGAATGCCAGAAACAGAAGCAATGGATTGCTGAGTATCAGCTTCTGATCAGGGCTGGTGCTAGTGGGTCACACAAGGTACCGTTTGTATGTGCATTAGGTGTGGTCTTAGAGGAAGTTAGGCTTGATTTCCAGCTGCTATTTGGGAAACGAGCCTGCACTCCTTTCCCAAACTCTTCTCGGGGAGGAACAGAGACTGAGTACGAGAGAGTGGCAGAAATCAAGCCAAGATGTGAAGAAGAAGAAATGGGGCACTTGCAATGGTTGTATTTCGTTCCTGTAGACTGTAAACTAAAACGTAACATGAACACAGAATTCCTGATCCTGATGTGTGACAATATTCAAGCATGACAAGTGAATGGATAAAACAAAAATTGTTATCATGGGTTCTCACAGGAGAGTAGTGAAAGCCTACCCTGAGTGTTAATACAGTACTAGGTACTAGAGGTTAATTTGTTGTGGGGGGCTGGGGTGACCTGACAAAATTTAGGAGGTTAACAGATTCCAGAGTTGAGTCCAAATTGCATGAGCTATCAAGATAACCTTTTATTGGTGCAGACTTCAATCTTATCAATTCATTTTGCAGTGTCCATATTGCGCCAAGTCATTTGTTAGCCATGAGTACGTCATAGCCCACCTGTCAAGGCGACATGGCGAACACTCAAGTCAAATGAATGGGATGGTGATCTCGGCGGCACCTGTGAAATCTGTGGGTACAGTAACCGTGGAAACTAAACCTGGCATGACAGAGAAAGAGAAGAGCAATCTTGAGGAGGAGTTGGAAATGATTAAACTGAGACTGCAAAAAACTGAGCGAGAACTTGACGAGGAGAAGAAATTAACACGGTCACAGGTATGTTACATGACAACAACCTTTCGGACATGTATATATGGTGTGATGGTCTCTTGCTTTGAGTATCTTTGGAGACAAGAAAAGTGACTTCCAAGTGGCAAGCTACAGATTATGTAAGGAATATATAGCCTCTCTCAAAACCAGCTCTTTTTTATATAAGTACTGCTGTTATTTCTGTTTGGATGGATAAAGAGATGAACATTCGTGAGCATATCTTTATTTTCTTGTTCGTTTATTTTCTTTGTGTAGTTGTAGCATCTGTTGGAACTGAACAGAGTTTACAACAATGATTTTTTTGTTTTGCTGTTTTGTAACAGAGAGGTCAGTTGACTTTAGAAGATCAAAAGATTGATGAACTTAAAGCAATGTTCAATCAGTGGAAAAAAGAAGAAAAGGAGGAACAACAGGTTGGTTTTAATTATTATCTATTTCTCTGCCTTCATAAAAGGCCTGTGAAAGCTGACAATGTTTGGTCTCTGCATGCATTGCAGGCCTATGGTGCTTTATTTAGCAATTGCCCAGGTTATAAGCTTGTGAATCGGAGTTCTGTTCTGGAAGTTGATGAGGGCACAGCCCAAGTTGACTATAAATCTACTTGTTGTTTTAAATCCATTTCACGGAAACTTTGAAAATGCAAAGAAGCCGCCCCCATTTGGTGAACTGCGCTAACAATACCATACAATGCTAGTCTACTCACTATATATGTTATGGTTTAAATTTATTTTTGTTTTAATTTTTTTAAAACCAGTTTAGGTTTTTCAAACTGGTTAATATTTTTAAAGATGTGACTGTATATTTTAGGTGGATGCTACCTGGTGATGAAAAGTGTGAGTAAATAAGGTGATGGCTCAGGAATGTTTCTTTCTTGTTGCAGCAAGAAATGGCCGATTTCAAGAGAACCTACTTGCAGGATATGAGCAGAGTTAAAGCAGAGAGGGATAAGTTTTCTGCTGTGAGTTACAGTGGAAATTGAGTCAAACTCTATCTATGAATAGCAAAATAATGATAATAATGTTGACATGAAATTTACATGTGAAATATAATTTCACATGTAAATTATAATTTCACATGTGAAATATAATTTCACTTGTAAGTGTAATGTGTCATCCATGATATTAAAAGGTAATCAAATAAAATACTTATGAAATTACAGTAAGAGATAATTTCACTTATCACTGTTTGATTACCTATACTGATGTCCTGATATTGAAAAAGTAGCAGAGTATTTAGTTCCTATGGTGTGATGTATGCATGTAGCATTAATTTGTTTGGTTGCAAAACCAGTACTGATAAAAAGCAATATTATTATTCAGTAATTATAATTTATCAGTGTTATTTAGTCCATGCATGTCACATTTCTGCATTTATTTTACAGGATGTGACTGCGCTTAGAGAACAGCTGAGTGAGTTGCTTTGTCTTTAACTTCCCTTCCTTCGATTCCTTGTCTTAAGTTGTTTCTTAAGGCTAGTTTTCACTAGTGACGGAGTCAGAGTCGGAGTCGTAGTCAGAGTCATAAGAACGCTTATGACCTAGTGAAAATCGAAAATCAGAGTCATAAGTGGAGTCTTAAGCTCAACGGAATCGGAGTCAGAAGAATCGGAACATTTCCATTTCTTCCGATTCCATTTACGACTCCCTAGTTTATGATCAAGTGAAAACTACATTTTCAGAGTCGGAAGCAGAAATGGAAGAACTAACCGATCACAAGGCCCGGAAACGAACATTGTGATTGGTTTATTCTTCTGCTTCTGCTTCCGACTCCGACAATCTAGTTTTCACTGGATGGTAAGTGACGGAGTCGTAGGGGGATGCGGTGTTCTGCTTCTGACTCCGTCAGTTTGATTTTCACTAGATCATATCACTCTACGCTTCTGAGTATGACTCTGACTATGACTCTGTCTCTAGTGAAAACCAGCCTCTAATGCCTCCATCCCTTACTTACTGCATAGAGATATTCGCTTACCATATGTTAGCACCTTTTGTTTTGTGGCCCTAGCTGAGATGTTTTGCTGTATTCAACTTGATGATGTAACTGTTGTGATGCTTTGTGCTTGAACAAGCTTTTAAACCACAGAATAACTAGATTTTTTGACAATATTTTGATATTTTTGTCATTTCAGAAGAAAGGACATCAATGATAGGGTCAATAAGGGTAAGTATTGTTTACATTTTTCCTCTGATTTGATTAAAGCAAGGACTAGGCACGTGCTGTTTTATTTCTTTTCCTTGGTCAGTGTCTGCAGCATCAAGAAACTAGGACTTGGTATTCCCTCTCCTAAATTTTTCCCAGATTTTGTACCCTATCCAGGGTAAACATCTTTATAGCGGAGCTCCTGCACACCGAAGGCGTGTGAGCAGAGCCCCATACCTTAGAAAATTTGGTAAGCCATCAATCCGAAAAAATTTGGGTTGTCATGTGACTGTCCGTACGTACGTACTTACATCCATCCATACGTGAATACCTTGAAAACTAAGAGAGTAGCACCATTACCATAGCTACATCTTTGATTTTGGGCGTCCACGCTATTGTTAATTGACAGCTGTCACAACAAGCTATCTGCTGACCAGTATCACGTGACTATATTGRGGGCTCAGGTTTAGAGCTCATCGAGGTTACGTGTTGGTTTAAKGATTGGAGACCGCTGACCAGTTACTGGTTTGCCGATTGGATCACGGGCTCAAGTCATGTTATTWCTCTGGGGGAGAAGGAAGGAGTACTTGCAAAGGCAAAATTTCGGCGCAAACTAACCCCTGGCGCATTGTTGACTTTTCTTTTGACATATTCCTTGTACAATTGTCTCTTGGAAAGTCCCTGATATATTGCGTACATAATTTCTACAATCTTGGTTAGGATTGTTGGGTATAGTTTGTTTAAATTTAACTGGAAAAAAATAGCAAAACCACACGCTGAACAATTACATGCTCACAATTGATCATTTTTTGAGTTTCTGATCCAAGAAAAAATAATTCTCTCTTTCCTTTATTGTCAGTTATTGCAATCAGGAGCTCCGCTCTTAGGCTTGGCTAAATCTATATATTATCTAACCCCACACTGTCCAACAACTCTTCCCATCTATAGAGGAGTAGCGTTGTTCACTTCACTAATACTTGCTACTTTGTCACCTTCTCTCTCAGTCATGTTCTGTTATAGTTACATGTTTCATTTTTTGTCAGGATGAAGATGAAACTGATTCTCCTTCCAAGTTCAACCGAGCTGAAATGTCGCAGCAGTTTATGGTGCAGTTGGAAGAAAGGGTCAGTAAGATTATTGCTTGATGATACACTCTTCAGGGACACGCCTAATGCTGCCATGTAGCCATACAAAGATACAACAAACTTATAGTACAGCTGTCTCCACCAGAATGGATTTTGTTGTTGGTTGTGGTTTTCTCCGTGTGTTTTTCTGGGTTCTTTAGTTTCCCTGTACTCCCACGTTTAACTGGGGGTTATGACTAGAGAAGAAGATAAATATTATTTTGAAATTTTTATGATATACGATCTGTGATATAGCTGTTCAAATTGATTTCTGTTTAATCTCCCTGTAAGATTAATGCTGGATCTGTGGCAAGGACAAGTGCACTGTTACATAATTCACATGGTTCCCCTGGCTTATACATATTAAAATTGTCATCTCTTATATTTTTACTAATGCTGTGTTTCTTTTTCCTTTCCAGGCTACTCAGATAAAAGCAGAAACACAGCAAAATTTAGAGAATGAGATGCAGAAAATGCAACAGAAATTCAAGGCTCGGGAAGATAAATCCAAAAAACAACACAGAGAAGAAATGGGGCAGGTATAGATCACTTCACAAGCGTAAAAACCAACCTTAAACTATTAAATTTTTTTGCGTGGCATACACACAAAAAAATGTTCAAATGTTGTTGTTTATAGTGGTCAGTATGCTTAGCTGCACCTAACTCCACTGTAGTTCACAGGCATGCCACTTCAACTTAAAGAAACAAAATAATATATCAACTAAACATGACAGGCTTAAAATCCCAACTGGCAGGAGGCAGACCAGTTTTCTATTTACAAGCATGACCAAAGAGTTGAACTAGGGTCTACCGAGAAACAACTCCAGCTTAGTGGTCAGAGTGGAACTTGAATCCACGACCTCCAGATTTCGAGTCCAGTGCCCTAACCACTTAGCCATGCTGCCTCATCTGCCTCATTTGCCCCCTCCTTGGCACAGTGGACTGCTGGTTAGCATGTTCAACTCTGTATCAAACTGCCCTTGGTTCATGCACCAACAAAAGCCATATGTCAAGTCATGTTTCTGAGCGAGATACTTTACTTTCATTGTACCTCGCTCTACCCAGATGCACAAAACATTTTGGTAGTGGTGATTTGTTAATTAAAAGCAAGTCTGAAAAAATGCTGGGATTAACCTGAAATAGACTAGTATCATGTGCAGTTCAATCACTGGAGAGTCATCTGGCTCTTCCAAATCTTTCTCGTGGAACAGTTAATGGTTTAACCAGTGCAAACATCCAAAATATCATGTAATATTTATATAGGTCACTATGTGCTTTAGTTTCAGGAAATGTTGAGCCAGTATGAAGAAAACTTACAGAATGAAAAAACTGAGAAAAATCGACTTTCTGAAGACTACGAAAACAAAATACAAAAGCTGACTATGGTAAGTGATGACTGACTGACTGACTGACTGACTGATGGAACTGATGACTGACTGACTGACTGACTGACTGATGGAATGACTGACTGACGGAATGACTTACTGACTGACTGACTGACTGACGGAATGACCGACTGACTGACTGACCGACCGACTGACCGACCGACCGACCGACCGTCCGACCGACCGACCGACCGACTGACCGACCAACCGACGGACCGACCGGCCGGCCGGCCGGGCGGGTGGGCGGGCTGGCTGGCTGGCTGGCTGACTGACTGACTGACTGACTGACTGACTGACTGTGGGACAGATGGACTGACTGACTGATAGATGGCAGACCAACTGACAGACTAACTGACCAATCGATAGTTATCAATGGGATGTAGGTTGTTACTGGAGCTTCTTTGTTTTAGTTAACAATTGAAATACTTCTTTTCCAGCAAGTTCAAGACCTCAGTAATGCACTGGATTCACAAAAGGTAAGGAAGCTACAGTAGACAGAATACTACAGTATACTGACGTCTGAACGGTTAGCAGTGAAACTTTTGTGCTTATAAAGTGGACAAATCCGATTATTAGATAAATGGCCCTCCTGCATTTACGTCTCACTCTGGACACCTTCACTGAGTCAGAACAACTGAGAGAGAAAGTGAGAGAGGAGGCGGGTATAAGTTTTATGAAGACATTTTTCAAGTCTTACTACCATTTAAAGTGAAGTGTTAATTTGCATGACTAATAAGTACTTCATATTTTATTACCTTGCAGGTGGAGACAGACAGAGTTCAGCGCACATTCAATGCTCAGCCGCCTCCACTCCTTGGTATTTTGATTTTACTTTTAACTCACTTGTGGTTGTCTTTGAAGAGTGTGGATTACGTATCGGTCCTTCAATTTTCAGCTAGCCTGCAAATAGGCTCCCGGTGAGGGCGAGCGAAGCCCCCCCCCCCCCCCCCCCCCCCCCCTTGAAGGGATACCTATCCGAGGTCTTCAGTTTGACGCTCATCGCACTCGTCGACTTGCTTCACCTCACCGGATTTTTTTTTCCGTCCTCGCCCAAGCCGATTCGCAAGCTAGTTTTCAGCAAGCAATTCTACTGATGTAATGTTTGGAGTAACACCTCTGAGTATAACCTAAATAGGATTCAGGCTGTGCAGAATTTTGCCGCCCATATTATCGGCAACGCTAGGAAGTACGACCATGTCTCCCCCATTCTTAAAGATCTAGAGTGGTTACCAGTGAGACTGCATCTACACTACTGCCTGGCGGATGACTTGGTGTACGCCGGACGTCTTATTTTCTAGATATAGCCAAAGAGCTAGCATCTCCAAACACACAACAAGAAACTCGCAGGGTTTACAGTTCCTTTACAAAACGGCGACCGGACAAAGAACATTGTTCTATGGAACTGTTAAACTTTGGAACTCATTACACTCTGCGCTCAAGTTGAAACCTTCACTAAATGACTTCAAACGTAGTTTAGAAAAATATTTAATCTCCATATTTCTAGAGTCTTGAACACACTGAAGTATTTTCTTGTTATATATCTTTTTATTTATTTTTGTTTTTTTTAAAAATATATTTTTTGTACCTTCAATTTATTCTGAAGAGCCCAATTGGGACGAATACAGTACTATGTAATGTATTAAAAGCTAAAAACCCCTGCCAAACGGAGTCGCAAGTATACGTGAGGTAAATGCTTGGGTATACCTGCGACTCCATTTGGCCGGGCCTTGCGTGCACTTGCGTGCACTTGCGTTGACTTGCAATCAAGCACTTTGGTCGCGATCAAAATAATTTGCATTCAAGACAACGAAAGTTTTTCAGCGTTTCCACACCCAACCCAAGTCAAAAAAAGTTGAGTGACGTCCATTGCAACCTATTAGCCAACGAAACACAGGATATGTCTGCCTTGAAGTGGCTTTTTGCGACTTGCGTGTACTTACGAGGAAACTTGCGAGTCCGTTTGGCCACCCAACGCAAGTCTCTGCGCAAGTTCAACTTGCGGCTACTTGCGACTACTTGCGTGTCCGTTTGGCCTGGGCTTAACCTGGATGGAGAATTTTACATACGAACCCCGGAAATATTTAAATAATTGTGTTCTGTGTTGACATCTGCAGCTTCTACACCCCCTGTGCCAGCTCCAAGACAAACTGAAAGCCCTGTTCAAGGTTAGTGCAACTTAGCTCGGAGTTGTACAGAAAGCAATTTTAGTTCTCGTTCGATCTCGTGTCTCGCGAGAAACGAGACCTGTCTCTAACAGATTCTATGCTCCTAACGAGAAACAAGACTGACCACGCGAGATCCTCGTGGTACCCATTATGAGAGGACCGTCGTACATCAAATTGTCAATAACCTTATCTGTCAATGTTTTGTGTCTTCCTGAATAGCAAGTCAGTTGTCTTGTATTGTGATTCTTGCATGATTTTCTTGTTATTTGTCACCAGCTGAACCCATTGAAAGAGAAAGAGCAAAATCTCCAGAGAAGAGTGTAACAACAGGTACATTCAAAGTTTTATGCGTTTGGTTTTTGCTCGGTGCGTGTCTTTAGAATCTCAAGAACTTCAGATACTGCATGCTATGTAATTCAGTTCGGCTTTTTCAGTTTATGTCTTTGCTGTCAACCTATCAGAGAGCGCAACTTCCAGTAGAATTATCTCGATCGAAAAGAGTAGGGGACGTAGTTCCCGGTGTGGTGGTCTATCTCTCATCTGATGGTTAAATGCTCTGAGATATTAGCTGCACAACCTATTCTGAAATCCGAGGGTAAATAAAGTAATGTATGTATATGTATATATGTATGTATGTATAGAAACCAGTTCAGGACTTCAGGAGAGATNCGAAAGGTGTACCTTTGTCAGGCTTCAGGTATATGAAAGGGTAGGGATTTCATAGGCTGAGGTATATGAAACTGTAGGAAAATCTGTCTTTTAGGTATTTAAAAGGGCCTTTAATTAAAATATTCGAGCCGAAGTACCTTATGGCTGTACGAGTGTATCATTTAATTTATTAAGCACTACATGAAAATGACAAGATTTGCTTTTTTGGCGATTTAGTCATAATACTTGCTGGTTATGAAAGCGTATTAAAGAGGTAACTTTTAAGGTATACGAAAGAGTACCGTTTCTGCCGTAATGGTACACAAAAGGGTAAGGAGTTGGACGTCGGGGCGGAGCCTCCCCGTTTAAAACAAGTCGAATACATCCTCCCGGGACTAGTTGTTAGAAATGCACGGAAATCAGAGTAGAAATAATGGGGTTGACGCTTTGAACGGCTGTGTCACGATGAAAAGAGTCGCTGTTTTTTATGTATGATGTTACGTTCAGTAAGAGAAACAAGAAACATCTTAAAAGAAAAAGAACAAGCTGGGATGGTTATATGATCTCAGTCACGTTGTTTTAGCCACGTACAAAATTACCTTTGAGTTGAGGAAAACCTGAATATAGTAGTTTACTAAGATAGAAAAACATCAAAGAGATAATAATAAACCATAAAGGAACAAGGATGGTTAAGGATGGAGAAGATTAACACGGATTACAAATTACGCACTTGAAAAATTTGGCGTACTTTTCAAGATGCGCAAACCGTGAGGTAGCTCCTGTAAGATCGTGGAAGGTTGAGACGGTTTGAAAAATTAAGACCACATTATCAAGATGCGCCTTGAGTGATATTTTAAGAAGCAAAAGTTTTTTCAATAGATGACCAAAGCTTTATCAGCTAAGGTTGACGTATATTGTTGAAAAAAGTAAAAGGGTTGAAACCATACATAACGTTTGATTTGCAGGAGAAGCCATTACTCTTTACGTATCGACGAATCAAACCAAGTCTGGCCAGTATCGTTTGTGGCGTCAATCTTCTGATGGCTCCAATGAATGGTCTAATATGTTCGCTTTCTCCGCCTTTGTAAAACCCACCGGGAACTTCACTTTCCCGATCTACGTGTTCACCGCAGGGGGATCCCCGTATTGGCGACAGTATATATCTGGGAACTCCTCCCCTCCCAGCACGGAGTATCGTTTAGACTACATGTTTTACTGTTCTCAGTCGTCATTACCTGGGACTCTGCAGTATCACGTGCAAGAGGCGGGGAGTGTTCCTGTCATAAGATCGTATGTGTCCAAGACGAAGAGTATTCCGGGATGGAAGCACAAGGGGTTGTCGTTCTTCGCTCCTAAACAAACTCTAGGTGGCGACAAATCATGTACGTAAGGAAACCTTTTCTGTGATACCCTGTACTGAAACGAAGTTTTCTATTGGATGAGAATTTGTCACGTGATGTAATTCTTTTGTACAACAATTTGCACGTGATCACCATGTGCGTCTCTCGAGCTTATGGACTCCCAATGGTTCTTGACCTTCCTTTCCCTTCACAGCCTTTAAGTTCTTTGTACAAATTAAAGTAACTTTCATCTCAGGCGAAGCAATAATTTAGTTATGTAGAAAAACATCAAAGAAGTAAAAATAGAACCCGAAAGGATCAAGGATGGTTAGGGAGTAGGGTTTCTCCACATCGAATCTGTCACTGCTGCTTCAACCTTTTTAAGTACTCGTGGGATTTTTGCTGTTGTAGAGATTGCAGATAAACCAGATCTTAGTTTTTTCTTTTTTTTTTGTATTTTCAGTGGCAAGCGTTTCTGCATCTTTCGAATCGACTTTGACAGAGGACAAAGAACAAGGTTTGTTTTTTTGTTTTTTTCTTTAGTTTCTCAGTTAGTTGATAAATTTTAGTAAATGAAATGAAGTAGCGAAGGAAGTTTATTTGCAACGTATTCTTACCCTTTTTTCTTGTCCAATCTGTTGGAAACTTTAAGATGATTTCCAGTCCGTATTGCGCAGTCTCGATACCCTAATGTTTACAAACATTGTAAGTCTCACTCGATGGAATGCGAATCGATGTTATTCATTTCAAACAACATACCTTATCTTTAAGGCCTTTCAAATTCTTTTTCAAACAGCTTCAATGATTTTTACAGCTGCAAAGTTGTTTCATCAAGTGATAAGAGAAAGAACGAAACACAAAGCTTTGCATCTATGTTGCGAAATGTTTACATTTTGTGATGTCTTACATGAAACAAAACAGAAAACGTAATCAAACTCTCGAGAGTGCGCAGTACGGACTGGAAATCATCCGTAAACCAATCGTGTTACGGAGTGCTAATGTGCTTTCCATTTTTACGGCCTTAAGGTCTACGTAACACGAGGAAGTCTGAGTTTATTATGTGAATATGTTTTGCCCCTTCAAGAGATCTTTATTTTGGTTGTGCCATTTGTTTGTTCTTTAGCGTGCTTTAGTTTGTGCTTTAGTTCGACCTTTTGATGCTTACCTTTAATATTTCCATTTCTATAGACTTTGAGCCAAGCGAATCTGAATCCGAAGAAGAGGTTCCTGCTCCTGTGGTGCCAAAAGTGTAAGAAGAAAAAAATTCCACGTTCAAATCGTAGTTTCTTCTTGCACAGCGTAATAAACAGTAGCACGTGAAAGCAGTGCTCAATAGCTTTCATTTGAATGGTCACGCGTTAGGGTTTCATTCACAAACTTGAAAGTTAGAACCGCCTTGTACAGCCACATGAAAGTACTCTTTAGAAGCTTTCCTATGAATGGTCATACACTGGAAGTTCATTCACAGTCTTTTATTCTTTGATCTTTTTCAGAGAAGTGGAAGATGTCGATGCAAACGAAAGCACAGAAACTATTGAAGACGTGAAGGAGATAACTTCGTGAGTTCCTGTCCTCTTCTTTGGCTTTAATTAACTCTTTCTGTATAGGTAATGCATTCAAGTCTGTCATTCTCATATCCGCATGTATCTCCAAGAACTCGCTAGCAATCACAGCTAAGATGTTTACTACTTGACCAATCGGGTGCAAGATCAAAACCGCACACGTGATTTGGTATCCTACTTACATGATCTGTGGTTGCTTCTTGACCTGATTTCTTTTTTCTTTTCTTTACATAGAGGCCTCTCCAGCTCTGAGTGGGTGAGTTTTTTCTCTGTTTTTCTCGTGTTTACTCGTAGGGACACTACTCTTGAGCTGGCCAAAAACATGCCTTCTCTCTTTTTTCTCTTCAGTATTCTGAGTAAAAATGACTGTAGTACAATACAGAGTAACAGGCCGAAATGGAAAACCTTTGTCGCCCTGCACTCACAGAATAAAGATTTGTCTCTACAAATTAGGATTGTTATCTCCTCATTCTTGGTTGACAGCCCTGTATTAGCTAAGGACTGTCGCTCGAAACATCAGCAGTGTAATTGCCTGACCTACTCCACGTTACCATGAATAAAACTTGTAAAATCCTTATTTTATGCTTAAATAAGAATTCTGCTCAAGAATGACTGCTTAGACTTGGGTCTGAAGTGCAACTGTTCCATTTGTAACCAGTGCATCGTTTGGATTTTAACAGTTAATGTGGATTGGGTTACAGTTCAGTAACTAAACAGGTCAAAGTCACTATTTTCTTGTTTTTTGCAGGGCACAACCACTCTCGAAGCCGGCGAGTTTCATCCAATGCCCCACAATAAGCTAATTACAAGTAAGAAGTGATATATCAAACACGAAAGACCGTGTTTGACCACAGTTCCAAACACCGAGAAGAGAGTTGAAAATACGACGCGCAGCGGAGTATTTTTGACGAACTTCGAGGTGTTTGGAAATGTGGTCAAATACTTTCTTGAGTGTTTGATATATTTTCTCAATCGAAACTAAAACTAAGGAAAAAACAGAGAAATAAAATCGTAAAAATCTCTGCTAATTAAGATCAGATATCCAAACACCGTCACGGTCATGACTTCCCTTGTCTAAACTTGATGAATTATTAATGAGTTTGAGAACTTACAATGAGGTCTCTAATGAGGGGGACATTGGGGTTTGCGATATTGCGGTGTTGCGGTATTGGACAACTTTTCTTGCGGTATTTCGGTTATTATAATCTCGAAATGCGGTATGGCGGTATCCGAACTTGCGAGATGCAGTTTTTTAGCATTTTGGACGTTGTTAAAAATTATCCTCCTGGTCCTCCAACGTTTTCCGAGCCTTTTCCAGTTTATGATTGGACATTCCCAATGAAACCTAGCTCTCATGGTAACAGAAAACTGCAATTCCGTGAGTCGCAATCGTAAAAGGGTATGTTATTTTTTATTAATTATTAGCCAGCCACGCCAGTGGATGTTACTTATTTTGTCTAAGTCGAAAATTACCTGACCTAACGTTCATTAACAAATTCTTAATTGTTATTTCCGTTTTATTTGCTCTGAACCTTGACATACAGAGTAGTAGTTTCGGTATGACATCGCGTTTCCACTCGGTATTGAAGTATTGCGGTATTTAGCGATTTTGTTTTTGCGGTATTTGCCGCATTTTTTGCGGTATTGCAGTGTTCAGAACCCCCAATATCTCCCTCTCTAATTCATGTTTTACTAAATTATGTTCATGTTAATTATGCTAAATTATACTTCATTCAAACGCATTGTACCGAAGCTAACTTCCAACTCTTTTAACCAATCAAAGAGTTAGTGTATGCCCATGCAATCACGTGACTACCTCCCTGACTAGCTTGGCTTGGAGTGGCCAAGAAATAGGAACCTAACGTAATTTCAAAATCATGTATGTGAAGCCTTTACTAAGGGAGTTCGGCTTGTGCGTTTCTTATGGTATTAAAAGCAGTGAAATATTTGCCGTCATAGTTCTTTCTGGTCTCCTTCGCAGGCGTTATTAGGACCGTCACACAATGCTTGCGTGACGACCCTTAGTCACGCAACGCTTGCGTGACGATCATAAGAACGCGTGCGAAGGACACTAGGTTCGTCCGTTTTTGGCATGGCAAATTCTGATATTATAACGTTTTTTCCAGCTCGGTTTGACCACAGATTTGATGAAGTGCGTGCGTGTAGACAAGAAATTGTTCAGATTCTGGACCAGAAACTTGCTAAACAAGGATTATCGCCTGTAAGTACTACTTATTTCGAAACCTTTGTAAGCTTTTCACCCCAAGAAAAATACTGCGTGTGGTAACTATTAAAGGTTGGAAGTAACTCTCAGGTTTGGCGAGGCGTATGTAGTGTCTGATCTTTTGGTTTGTTTATTACTGTTAGGAAAATGGGAGGCTGTCTTCACAGAAAATGGAGGCTAAAATGGCCGCACTGAAAACAGAGAGACAAGCCTGGAGCAAGGTGAATTGAAGTTTTACATTTTATAGGTTATTAACAGAATGATTATGTCAGAACTAAGCTACGTGCAGCTCGCATTTCCTTCCGTCATTGTTTCTTATTGCATTTGCCTGTCGTGAGTTTTGTTGTTCAAACATTTTTTCTGTTGGTGTGTTTGTATAGCATGCTACCCAGTGCTATTTCTCAATATCTTGATTGTTTATTTCTTTCATTCCACTAGAAAATCAAGAATTTTACTGCAGTAAGACAAGAGTAAGTTGAAGTTTGGATTTTTTTTTGTCGTGGTATTTGCTTATACTTTCAACTGTGCACTCTGCAAAAGCGTTGCGAGCTATAACTGTAGGTAATCATACGGTTTCGAGTTCAATTTGGAATTAATTTACACGAGTGAGAAATTGCACTCGCCGAAGCAGATGAAATGAAATGAAATGGAATGGAATGGAATGGAATGGAATGGAATGGAATGGAATGGAATGGAATGGAATGGAATGGAATGAAATGAAATGAAATGAAATGAAATAATTCGCGTGGTGGAAGTGCCGGAATATCTTACTAGAAGCCATTTTTCTCATTCGAGAAAACTTTTTTCAAAGTTTCCGCACAAAATTTTCGTCGTCATTTTACGTGATATCATTGACTTAGAAAATTTCCTATTGTTTTTCATGCAATCATAATCTAGAATTACGATGTGTAATTTGCACTGGTGTTACACTTTTTGCACTGGTGTGTTACCCTTGAACTGCACTGCTCTCAGCCAATCAGAATCGAGTAATTTTTTTATGTATATTATCATGTTTATAAAACTATCTTTCTTTTAGATGCGTGGACGAGTTGGACGACATTGTAAAGAAAACGTACCGCAGTGGGGCCGCCACAGGGAAACCAAGCTCACCAGGTTTGGTGTACTCTTTTATCGTCCATTCTTAGCCTACTAGATATTCGTAGATCACAGGATACCCAGTATTAATGGTGTGATTTTGTAGAACATGACTCAAAAAATGATGATAATTTTATAGTTAGTAAAAGATTACGGACATGGGCGAGGAAGAAAATGGATTTCAAGATAATTCTATTACGAAGATTTCAGTTGCAACTTTGAATTAGAATCCTTTAAAAATTGGCAAAACGTTTGTTGCAGTATGAAACATAATAGTTCGAGCATAAAGTACTCAATCATAACATTCGGTTCTAAGGTAATTGTTTCTTTGTCATTTGTACAGAAAATTTGAATTATTTAAACATCTCCCGTCAACGACAGTCATATTTGTAGCGGGCCGAATAGTCGCAGATAAGAAAGCTTCGTATGTACTGAACTGAGCTATAATTGTTTAATTCTGTTCAAAATGTATTTGATTAGAATTAAAAGTTCTGTATTTCCAGATTTATCACGTTGCACGAACACCCTGTCCGTGCTGAAATCGAGCTTTTTATAAGTGCTATTTTGTTTTGTGGTTGGAAGTACAGGAGGTTCTAAAAGGCAAAAACTTAATTCTCGGAGATCGTGGGAGATGTAAGACGGATACAGAAGAAGTAAAACATCGTCATTAATCAAGCTTATGTCGCATGAAAGTAGAATAAAGCCCCTGGTTTTTCCTTGAACGAAGCCATCTTTGTAAAGACACGCAGAGGCTGCACACGCTATTGCCGTTCACGTACAGCGAAATCTTAATCCGTTTTGAGATTTGCGAAGAAAACGGCGTTGTCAGCCTAGACCCTCACGGCCAAGGTAGCCGTAGTAGTAACTCGCCGTAGCGTATTTTAAAGTCCCTGATATTTAAGAAAATGATTCCCTTTACTTTCTTTTTAGTTCCCTCGGGTCCTCGTCCTGGCAACCGTTCTCCCGCGGCTAAACCTCCAACATTCAAGTCTACGGTAACCGCTGTCCGTACTTCTGCTTCACTGCAGCCCGGCAGAAAGTCACCTGCTCCAAGAGGGACCCCAGGGTCTACAGGGTAAGTACTGCAAAGAATTGGTTGATCGGAGTCGAATGTTACACCGATTGATGACGCCACTCGACGTCGGCTTTGATAACTTTGATTGATAATATTTGACGAGCAACGTCTTCTAACATGTAATTATGGGATTTGTGTATGTTAAGACCAGTTTTTTTCTCTGTTAGTTCAACCAGTGGCGGTGACATGACAGTCAGCGTTACTTCCGTCACGGACCGCTCCTTCAGCGGCACGTCGGTGACTGAGCGAACTTTGAGCGAATCTGAAGACGAAGTGAGCGTGACGGAAGGATCACAGGAAGAGGAGGAAGATGACGAGGAAGGAGAGTCTAACTGGGATTCAGAAGAGTAAGTACCATGTAGAACTTACGCCCCCGCCCCCACCCCCTCCTCGCCCACTTTTCCTGAGACAATATGGCGGCGTGTCCACTCGATGGCGAGCTAATACCGATAACTCGTGAACACATGGAAAATGTCTACACTGTAGGCTAAAAACTTGCGGAAAGCATTTGTGCTTATCTCAGAGTAACAGGTAACCTTGCAGTCAGACAAATTGGTTTCTAACGAATGTCGAGAAAAATTGTCGGAGGTCTTCGTCAGAGTAAATCTTCGAAAATTTTTGGAAATTTACGAAATAACCGTTGGATGATTTCAGGACAGTTTTGGAAATTAGTTAGAAATCTTCACTCAATGGTCATAAGTTTCTCCAAGTAATCTGTGAATATCCCACTCGTGCACATTCGCCTAAAGGCTCGTATGTCATATCACTGATGAACTCTTTCACGTATATTACTTCAAAAGTACTACATCAGTTGCCTTAGACAAAATTTCAGCGCTCGTTTTATGTGTTAAATAAATTTACCTGAAACTGTTTGGTGAGGATTAAACGAGTTATATGCTGCAGGAGCAAGTTCATTTTATACCTGATTTAAGACTAAAGTGGGCTGTTGCTTAAGTGTTCTAATTTGTGTTTTGTTCTATTTCACAGAGAAGCTGTCAAACCGCCGCCAGCCCAACCTACTCACAGAGTAGCAGTTCACATTCCCTCTCAAGAAGACCAGGATTCAGATTCAGACATTGAAGAGGTTCGCAATCCACGCGCTGTTTTTACCGACAGCTCGCAATCCCATCGTTTTCTTTGTTCTTTGTCTCTTGTCTTGATTAGACTAAGAGTTAAAAAAGAACCACAACGGGAACTTCGCCAAACAAAACGTTTAAATACCTCTTACTAACCGAGTTCGAGGTCCGTATTGTAACGTACATTTTCGCAACAAAAACAGCTTTGAATTTTAGCAGGCCGTATAGTAGAATAGGGCCCGCTAAATTGATTAATCACAGCGCGCGTAGGACTTGAGAGATATAATGAACAATACAATGGCTGTGGACGTGCATAATAATTCTCGGTACTTTTCTTTGCCGTCCTCTGTGAAACAACAACGTGAAATGACCAAATTCTGCTTTGTGTAGAGGACGTGAACCAGTAATTTTTGAAATTCATTTATCGAATTTTACAATTGCGGCTAAGACAGGAATCCTCCGTAAGAAAAAAGACGGCGACTGGTACATTTACCCACAGTTCTTAGCGCACGACAACTTTAAAAACGTTTATAAAAACGTACAGAAACGTTATAAAATCTTCAAACCCAGGCTACTCAATGTCCTTTGTACAGGGACAAATGTTATAAACATTTGGCTTTCTTAGTGCCTTATAGGCTGTGTTAGGTTCGCAAGGCATTGTGGTAACATGTACAGCCGCCATCGTTTTTCCTACGGTGGATTGCACCACACTAAAATGTTGTCCGGTTAGCCTGGATATCACTTTGGTTAGCTTAAACAGCACTCCGGTTAGCCTGAGTAGCGTTTCGGTTAGCTTAAGGTAGCGCTGACTTGGGAATGGTTAGCTCGTTAATAGGGTGCAATTCCTGTCTTTAGCTGCATGTAGTTTTACGCTGTGTTCCATAATCAGTTTCAAGATAGTTTTGACAAAGAAAAACGAACTAAATGACTTTAGAGGACCACGAGATTCGTAGGTAAAATAAAGGTTCGTTCTTTAATCGACGTTGTCCTCGGCGTCGCCGTCGTAGCTACTTGAACTCCCTACTAACATGTACATTCTGTTTATTCTTTGTGTTACAGCTGGCTGCAGTTAAAACCATCCCCAAAGCTGCTCCACGAGGCGAAAAAGTGAGTGTTTCTTTTTTTGGTAATCCGGAGGCTCAAAATATTTGTTCTCGTAACTTGTTTTTTTACATGTATTTATTCTGATATTAGTTTTAAGACTTTGAAGTTTCATTAAGGCAATATCCTCTGATTGATGATTTTCTTTATCCTCGTCACCTTTCTATTTATATAGTGAGGAAAAACAAATTTTGATTACTCTTGTGAGCTAGGAAGACCAGAGTAATTCGTTCCTTTGTTGTTTTGAAGGTTCGCGAGTTGGCTGAATCTCTGGAGCGTAGCTTGACCCTCGGCTCTTCAACCAAGAAACCTGCTGGTGGAGTGTCGCTTCACTTTCAGGGGAATGGTAACGAAAGAAGTGAGCCTCGGAGAACTACTGCTCAGCAGTCGTCGGGACGTCAGGTAAGACGCATGCGCTTTTGAAAGAGTGTCACTCCTGGCTTGCAGTTCTCCAACCACAAAATGTCTTTGCTTTACTTAATTGACCTTTTCAGCTGTAAATTCAAAAAATATACATATTTTTACTGATGTTCCTTCTGAGAATTTAGTGTGGTACATCAAGTTGGTGGTCTCTCTGTTGAGGGGTCCATTTCTCGAAACTTTCCGGGCCCGTAAAGCCATTTTTAGTTCATCTGTATCTAAACACAGACAGGTGTATGCGCCTGAAACTTCTTGCATGAAGAAAAACTCTGTTCTTATTAAGAATATGTGAATAAAACAGCTCTGTAATCATAAAGTTTGAGATTTTGATACGGCTTTCCGGGTGCGAAAACTTTTCGGGACCTTCGAGAAACGGGCCCCTGGTCTTGTTTTAGTCGTTTTGTGCTTGAAAAAGAATTTGTAGTCTGGTTTCCGAAGAAAAAGACTTGGATAATCAGTGTGTGGCTGTTACTGTTAGCCATTTGTTGAGTGTTTTTCAAAATAACTGCTCGCATTACGATTGATTTAGTTTTTCTCATGTCAGTGTGATTTTTTTTAAAGATCTTTTCCATACCTGTCCAAGAGGTGCCACTTTGTTTCGAATGTATCTTAACTTGTCTTTGTATCTCGTAGAATGAAGATGATGTTGATAGCGACTTTTCCATTTCCTCTTTCGATGAGACGACACCAGCCAGACGGTAAGAATCAGCCCTTGTTAACTTCATGAAAACTGGAAATACGCTTAGCAGATGCCGTAGAAATGAAGACCAGAGTTTATCGGGAACTGAAGCAATGACTACGGCGACCCCGAGGAAAACGCCTAGTAAAAAATGAATTTATATTGTACCTTTGAATTTCGCAATTGTCTAGATCTGTTCAGTGCGGCTATTGGTCTCAGAACTTGTTCAGGCTAAACATATAACGCCAGCGTTCGCGTTCTCCAAAATACGCAGAGCTTATAATTAGTCATTTCACGTTGTTGTTGTTGTGCAGAAGACGGTAAAGAAATGTCCAAAAATTTATAACGCACGTGCACAACCATTGTTCTAAACATTAAGATCAAATCCGATAGAAGATCGAGCAATTTCAGTTATTAGTGGACAAAAATCTTGTACTAGAATAGTGTATATTAAAATCTTTTTTTCTAAAAGCTATTTTGTACTTACAGTTTTGAAATTACAATATTAGCATAAAAAAAGAAAAAAGATACATATATAACAATTAAGGTGACAATGGGCTACAGTTTGTGCATGGAGGCTAATAGAACCGCGAGGTTATCGAGTTAGCCTAGAACACGCTCAGTCACGGTATTTTGAATTATTTTGGCCACGTACAAAATTACCTTTAAATGGTAGAAAACCTGAAAATAACAGTTTAATAAGATAGAAAAACACCAAAGAGATAATGAT